CTCGGCGGCAGGGGAGGAGGCGGGCCTCCGTGACGTAGGAGGGAAAGGAGTGCGACCAGCCCACCCGAGGGTGACCCTGCAGAGCCCACCATAGAGCTGTGTCTGTGACAGACCGCACCCCCACATGCCATAGCGACCCAGGCCGGGCCCCCCTGCGCCCGGGCCCCATAGCGGCCGCCTGGGTCGCTATGGCGATTGTGACGCCACTGGCCGGATTGACCATATATGGATGCACCAGCGACTATTAGATTGTGACCCAGAGATTGAAATGGGGGGGGTCGATACTTTGGTCGGACCGAATAACATATGAATAGAAATATATATATACCTATAGAAGGAATTTCACGCACGCCAGACACTAATACGCCTCCAGGGCTGTGTGGATGTAAATCCAACGGCAACCTACATCATCCAAGGTGGTAGGTCCATCATCAACCACATCGAGAGTGACCACCCTCGGACATGGTGACCCCGCGCCATGATGATCCCGTCCCGTCACTCCTTCCCTTGACTGCAGAAGTTGGGGGCTGGGGCGGGAGGGCCAAACTGAACACGTGTGGTTGGTGGTTGACCCAAACCCGAAGCTGATCCCTACATTGAGGAAGACGTACTCCTGTCCTGACTATGGGGAACTTTTTCCACAAAGGTTTTGTCTTACCAGATATCAGAGGACCAACGCAATCCCTCAAGGTGTATTGGCATCCTGAGTGTATGTGGTGGGAGGGGGTCTGTAGTATACTCCATCCCAGAGATCTCCTCCTTATCACAGCGAGACCATCCCAGAGATCTCCCCCTTATCACAGCGGGACCATCCCAGAGATCTCCCCCTTATCACAGCGGGACCATCCCAGAGATCTCCCCCTTATCACAGCAAAACCATCCCAGAGATCTCCTTCTTATCACAGCGGGACCATCCCAGAGATCTCCTTATCACAGCGGGACCATCCCAGAGATCTCCTTATCACAGCGAGACCATCCGTGAGATCTCCTCCTTATCACAGCGAGACCATCCCAGAGATCTCCTCCTTATCACAGCGGGACCATCCCAGAGATCTCCCCCTTATCACAGCGGGACCATCCCAGAAATGAGGGTGGCACGGTGTTCAGTACTGCCACCCTCATTCTCTCCACATAGTTTGGGGCTCACCATAGAAAAGATGGAAGAGAGTTTCTCTATGTGAGATGTCATCTGATGATCATGTATTTGGAGGAATTCCGGGTGGAATGATATAGGACTCTTTGAACTCATAAGCTTATCATTGGAGTATACTACAGACCCCGCCCCCCTCCCCCAAGATTTATCAGAAGGGGACAGTTGGCTCCTTCAATAAGTACAAAACATGAGAATAAAACTGAAAAGAAAACATTTAATAATACAAAACTGAATAAAAAGAATGGATCTCCCCGACTCTTCATCCAGAGGACATACCTAGCTCCTCTCTCACCCATGATGTCTTCCTGGGAAGGGAGATCAGACTACACTGCTAGAGGGACTCAACCAGCAGTGCCCCCCCAGCAGAGGAAGCCAGGCACAACTTTGAAGTCTTTAGTCATCTCTAAACTCTTCCTTGAGAAGAGCTCATCCACGTGTTTTCTGAAAGCTATATCAAGGTGTGCTTCTTCCCAGTGTCAGATCTCTGATGAGTCGTATAGAAAACATTTCCCGCACTCAGGACACTAAGACACCTCCAGGGTTGTGTGCGATCTCTGATGCCTGACAAGACAAGACTTCTGTGAAAAACATTTCCTGCACTCAGGACAGGAATAAGGCTTCTCCCCCGTGTGGGTTCTCTGATGTTTGTTTAGACTGATCTTTTGTGAAAAACTTTTCCCACACTCAGGACAGGAATAAGGCTTCTCACCTGTGTGAGATCTCATATGAATAATCAGATAGTCCGGCTGTGAAAATTTTTTCCCACACTCAAGGCATGAAAACGGCTTCTCACCTGTATGAGACCGCTTATGAGCATTAAGATTGCCCAACTGTGAAAAACGTTTCCCACACTCATTACAGGAATACGGTTTCTCCCCTGTGTGGCATCTTTGATGTTGAATAAGCTCTGACTTCCGTGAAAAACATTTTCCACAGTCAGGGCAGGAATACGGCTTCTCCCCCGTGTGCGATCTCTGATGTTTGGTAAGACTAGACTTATCTAAAAAGCTTTTCCCGCACTCTGAGCACAAATACGGCTTCTCCCCCGTGTGCAACCTCTGATGTTTCCCAAGGCAAGACTTATCTGAAAAGATTTTCCCACACTCAGCGCAAATATACGGCTTCTCCCCTGTGTGCAATCTCTCATGTTTGGTAAGGCTGATCTTATCGTAAAAACTTTTCCCGCACTCAGAGCAAACATAAGGCTTCTCCCCTGTGTGAGATCTTTGATGTATAAGAAACGCTGATCTCCAAAGAAAACTTTTCCCACACTCAGGACAGGAATACAGTTTCTTGCCTGTGTGTAATCTCTGATGTATACACAGCTTTGCCTTATCTGAAAAACCTTTCCCGCAAACAAGACAGGAATGTGTCTTCTCTTCTGTGTGCAATATCTGATGTCTGCAAAGACTGGACTTATCTGAAAAACATTTCTGGCACTCAAGGCATGAATACGGCTTCTCTCCTGTGTGAGACCTCCTATGAGAAGAAAGATGGCTTGACTGTGAGAAACATTTCCCACAATCAGGGCAGGAATACGGCTTCTCCCCCGTGTGAGATCTTTGATGTACAACAAGGTCTGGTTTCTGTGAAAAGCATTTTCCACAGTCGGCACAGGAATACGGCTTCTCCCCCGTGTGCAATCTCTGATGTATGGTAAGCTTGGACTTATCTGAGAAACCTTTCCCACACTCAGAACAAAAATACACTTTTTCGCCTGTGTGAGATCTTTGATGTGTAACAAGGACTGATTTCCATGGAAAACTTTTCCCGCACTCGGTGCAGGAATACGGCTTCTCTCCTGTGTGAGATTTTCGATGTTTGAGAAGTGCTGATTTCCGTGGATAACATTTCCCGCACTCGGAGCAGGAAAACAGCTTTTGACCCGTGTGGCATGCCTGATGTTCATTAAGACTGACCTTTCCTGAAAAACATTTCCCACATTCAAGGCAGGCAAATGGCTTCTCCCCCGTGTGTGATCTTTGATGTGTAACAAGTTGTGATTTCTGTGTATGACTTTTCCCGCACTCTGTACAGGAATACGGCTTCTCCCCTGTATGCAGTCTCTGATGTCCGATAAGACTGGACTTATCTAAATAACTTTTCCCACACTCGGGACAGGAAAATGGCTTCTCCCCCGTGTGAGATCTGTAATGTATGTCCAGTTTTGATTTATAAATAAAACGTTTCCCGCACTCAGGGCAGGAATGAAGCTCCTCACCCGAGTGGTATTTCTGATGTCTGACCATTTCTGCTTTACGAAGATAACTTTTCCCGCACTCAGGACAGGAAAACCTCTTCTCCCCCTGAATTCCGGCACCATCCCCCACAGGACGAGGTCGCTCAGAGTCAGAGGGATTCCATGGTCCATCCACACTGTGACGTCCACCATCCATAGCTGAGCTCATTGTCTCTTCTCCCGCACAATCTGCTGTGATGTCCTCATCTTCCATCTTACAACCTGGAGATAAAGTCAGACGATCCTTTGAGGGTTCCTCCATGGCGTGTCCTGGAAACATAGAAACACATGATGGAGAGATATGAGAGGGTGAGATGACTTCACTCAACATTCCATCTGGATCAGGAGGTCTGAGGGAGCGGATGTTCTATGAGGAGGTCCCAACCAGCCGGGACTCCTCCCCTCTTCACTCAACATTCCATCTGGATCAGGAGGTCTGAGGGAGCGAATGTTCTATGAGGAGGTCCCAACCAGCCGGGACTCCTCCCCTCTTCAGCCAAAAGGGCCTCCTCCCAGATCACTTCTACATTGACACAGCCTGGTCAGAAGAGGAGGGGCCAATGGGGACTGGGAGGAGCATGCTCTTCACCCAACCACAAGCCTAGCCACTGAGTCATGTGACCTCTGAGAAACAAGAGTATAGACTGGCAGCCCCTCCCCCAGATAACAGAAGAATATATTTTGCTAGGATATCATCGCCCTCTCTGTAAAGTGCGGCAACCCAACAGCTCTGGCTGAGAACGCAGTGATGGAGGTCCAATGACGCGGCTGACACAACTGCCGTAAAATCAGGGCCGGCTCTATAACCAGGTAGCCTGAAGCGGTAGCCTCAGGCAGCATCTCATTGGTTCACATAGGGGAGGGGCAGGACAGCGGGAGGTGTGAGTGCCGCCCCCTTTCCAGCGGTAATGTTCCAGGCTACTAATGGCTCTTAGCAACCTGTGATGCTCTGGTCGGCACCCCACCCAGCTCCATGATGTCACTGGTTGCCTGGTCCTAAGCAGGATGCTCTGGCTGGCGTCCCGCTCAGCTCCGGGCAACCAGGTGCAGCATCCATAGCCCCTCCCCCTAGATATGGAGCACCAGTGCCCCCCCATGGTAACGTGCCCCTCTGCCTCTGATCACGACACCAGACAGAGCCCCACCATCCCTACTCTCCCCCCTTAGAGCCCTCCTGATCTTCCCGCCATGGCACCCAAGTGCGGCCGGACATCTGATGGCGGATACAAGAGACTGCTAAGGTGAAGAGGTCGCACGCCTCCAAAAGTGACGTCTAGGTTACCACCCCCGTACACAGGTAGACCTTCTGACCTTGAAGGGGTTAACGCGTTTCCACCCCATGTATGCGTGTAGCCGACTCTACCGGAGATGAAGGGGGTCACGGTGACTATGGGGGGGACCAAAGCTCACATAGTGGGGGGAGGAGGTCACCGGGTGTAACTATAATATAACATCTCATTACCTCCTCTGCTGCCAGTTCCAGCAATGTCTCCTCTACACTTCCTCCCAACTCACCTGGAACTTCCTGTTTATAGGTGACATCACTTCCTGTCTGCTTTTCATAGAGACTTCCTGTCTGGGTATAGGGGAGATCACCACCTGGTGGAGCTCAGAGGAACTGCAGCCCCAAGAAAAACCTCTCGCTGTGTGTTTATGTTCTGTATATAGATGGGGTGATGGGAAGGGGGG